ACTCCGCTCCTCGCCCCGGCTAGCTCCTCTTATAGCCCGGGCATGGGTCACGTGGTATGGAATACCTGCCCCCTGCCGGCTCCTGGGGAGATTAACCCCATCCCTGCCGGAACCAGGACATCACTGCAGTCCTACCCATAGGGCTTTCCTGCTTGTAGATGCTGAGGTGAGCCCTGTGAACTGGAGTGGGTGACAGCATGATGTGACCCATCTGCCCTGGGGTGGAACTGCTGGGGTTAAAACTATCATTAGGGAGATGATTCCACTTGGGCGCTGGCTCCCCATGGCCTCTCCGTGTGATCAGTCACAGTTGACTCTGGGTATTCTGTGCTGCTCTCTGCTCCAAGGCATACCTGGGAGTAGGACCAGGCTTCTCCGGTCCCCTGCTGCCATGCAGAACCCTGCTAAAGCAATCCGTTTCCAGCCGCCAGGACTGGAACTGCCTGGAAGTCTAACTGGAGTTGAGGATGAGAATTCAAATACCTCTGCTGTCTGTCAGACCCCTGCAAAAGCAACCAAACCATGTCCTAGCTCTAAGTTCTAAAGCACGGAGCCATCTCCCCAGTTAGAATTCCTCCTTCCTGTGCTGGGTGATGGCTGCTCCCCAGACTTGATGCAAGAATCCCTGCAGACAGCTAATGAGCTGGAAAAAAGGGATGTAACTTTGACCTCTGCAGATTCCCCAGTCTGGAGCAGATGATTTCTTCATTGGGAAGTCTCCTGTCCTCCAAGAAAAGGAGCTGGCTGGGTTATGGTGGGCAAGCTGGAGCTGCAGCCAGGCTGTGATTGAAGGGCTGACAGTGTTGGTTCTGGGTTACACTGGATGAAAGCTTAAACAACTTTCAGGCAAGGGTGGTGGGAGGTGGGGGTTATTAAAGCCCTGCTGGATCAGGGTTGGATAGCACCAAGAAAGAGGGAACTTGGCCAAGACCTTGCGAGAAGATAGTGGCAGAGCTCTACAGGCACTTTGAGCCTCCTCCCTGTAAGACAATGATGGACAAATCTGCCCTGTGATCAACCATTACTGCAATAATGCAGCAGTGAACAAATGGTGGTGAATGGGCTGGAGCAACATGGTGGAACCATGGATCCTTCAGGTTGCTTCATGTGGTGTTGTTTAGTGGACACTTTTTTATGACCCGCTTTGCTACTCCATCACACAGGTAGGGGAAATCAAGCTGAAGCTGTGCAATGGAACCTGTGCTGCTCTTGGGTGTGCGTCTGGAGGATCCACCACTCATGGAGAGGCCATGGCCACAGAGCTGGAGATGCCAACTCCTCAAAAGCCATGGGATTGCTTTCTCTCCAAGGAAAATCCTTTCTTTCTCTCCCTTGCTGTGTTTGTGGGAGGGCAGGAGCAGGTCTGTGCTGATGGACATACAAGAACAATTGGCTTCAGTAATACACAACTGCTCCAATTACATCAGCCTCAGTGCTGTGTTGATTGTTTTCCAAGCTGTAGATGCACATGGATATGCTCCTGCCCTTGCTCAGTCACATTGGGTTGGCTTGTGGATGCAAGTGGGAGTGATGGTCACCTCATGTGTTCCCCTAGCCTGCTGTCACTCACATTTTGGGGGGACCAAACCAGTGGCTTCCAGTCCTAGCTGTCTGTGGAGAATGAAGCCACCAAGGAAATGTGGCAGCTCTCAAGACCGTGCCTGGAAACTTCCCAGCACACGTACCTGTGGGCACAGAGACAGAAATCATCTTTGTTCTTTTGGAAAGCATCTTTGAGCCCTGAACAGTCTCATTTCTGGCAAATGGAGTGGTTACCGTTCCCTTGTGAGGGTCATTGTCAATGCTAGGGGCATGGTGTGGGGACAACCAAGTGGAAACCCAGGAGGTGGGTTGGCCCCATCCCCAGGAATCTAGGGGGTAGAAAGTGACCACCTAGGACTGATAAGAGGAGGCCCACTGAGCCCCAGCAACTTTGGGGTGTCTCAAGGGGCTCCATCAGCAGAACAGAGCCAAAGATGGAGAGGACCATCCCCAGAAGGAGCAGCCTCAGAGGGTAGTCTGCTCACCCTCCCTGACGGCAATGGGACATGCCTGACATTGCTCAGGCAATTCCACAGCAGTGACTTGTGCACGGAGCAGGTTTCAGCCCATCAAGAATCTTCCTAGGGGTCCATCTACCACCCATTCCTG